GTGGCCCTAACTTCTCTTGAACGCATTTAATTCCTGTTAGAGCAGGTCAAACTTTCACACATATTTGACGATTTTTCAGGCCTCGTTTGGTCGAATATGCCCCTCAATATTGTGTGGGTCACGGAATTTTCACAGAATGATTGTCTGAAAATTGTCCAGACATAATAAAGTCTCGTTTTTTGTTTGGCAGAATTATAGCGCGATCGATAAATCATTTTAACTTATCAGTTGCGGTATGGTAAACTTGGAATGTACGATTTCCACCGAAGAGCAAGTTTTGGACACCCTATAAAACGTAGTTGGCTACAGCAATTCCGTTTGAAGAAGCACGTATTGTGCAAGAAATGTTTCAATAAAGAGAGCGCTTCTTCATGGAAGAGATCACATCTTTTTCTGCTTCAAGAAAATCGAACTTGGGAAGTGCATGAGTGAGCGGATTTTATGAGTAGTCAATGAAATGGTTCATTTCATCTGGACAAGAGAATTAATTTCGGTCCACACACGCACCGTCGAGGGGGACACATTAACGAAACGTAGTAAACCTTAGTAATGGCTGCACGGCTCAGTAATCGATATGACTATGAGAGGCTTTTTTGGCTACCAGCCAAATCCAAGTAAAAAGACACTAAACAAGACAAACGTTGGTAGAAATCCATTCGGTCACTCGATACCTGTCGCTTGATAAATTTCTACCTCCTTTCGTCTTCAAACGGTATTGCACGTGTTGTGATGTAGGGCTGTATGCACATTCTACGATAGACTCTAGGCCAAATAGAGAAACGTGTAGTCAAATAGAGTCTGCCAAAATGGTTTGTCTGCTTGCTGAACTTACTGATCAGTTACACGTGGTAATTCCATTGATATATTTCCTCATAGGGGATGGGTTAGTCCTCTTGGGAAACTAAAAGGTATTTACTCTTCCGTCTCGATCTTTGGTTGAAAATATTGTGTCGCCAAAATTTGTCCGTTCGCCAGAATAATTCCCACATTTTATGTATTTTCTGGAGCTTCCATCCGCACCATCGCGCCTCATTTCATTTGGTTTTAGACCCTGAGAAGCTAGATGTGTTGAAATTTCATCGATTTCATATGGTGTTCATAATCATCAAGCGTCTTATGGAATCGAGAAATATCCAATATCCCAACAGTAGAACCACTGAAAGCTAGTCATGCAGCAAAAGTCTCTTCCTAAAACTTGCAACTTTAGCTAAATCTTCAGCAGTGCTGATTCTGGTTGACCCAGCCGCCACGCGCTGTTAGTATGAATCAGTCCAAAAGTAGTCCGGAATACTGTGAATTGTAAACTAACGGGAACTTCAGATGAATCCCATCTAAATCTCTCGTTTATGATATTCTTCAAATGAATTCACGGCATAAATGCTGTCTCTATTTTATTTGACACGACCATTGAGGTATCGCGGTAGACCGTCCAGACGGAACACGTTACTCATACGATTTTTGAAAACTCCTCGATTTCCGACGACCGGTTCCGCCCTTCTTGAGGCTGATCACATAGGCAAAGTTTTCAAGTTTTCGTCCGCTTTACATTCCACCTGGACACACGTTTGCATGCATATTCAGTTGAAGAATATCATAACCTACGGAGTTCGCTGGGATTCAGTCATGTCCTTCCTTAAAAGAAACAAATTTGCGTCCGATTTAAGGTTGGCGAAAACTCGGAGACTGAGCCCACCTGATAAGCCCCAACCGGTCGTTGACTGTCAGAGAGATTCGGTAACCGTATAATTAATGTACTCCATCGATTGTAAAATACTGCTACGTCATTATTTATCCCAAGACGAAAGTTTTCGTAACCGCTCCCTGTTAACGGCATACCACTGATCCTCTACCGATGTAATATGACGATGAAGTGGGATGACTTTCAGACCGGAAGAACTTTTCCAGGTTAATTCAGCATCACTTTTTTTAGTATATGATGATGAAGCATATTTGACCGTGCGTCAAATAATTTTACCAACACTAGCTTATGCGACCGATTTTGTATCTGGTTACTACGTAGTTTTCAGGTCTACAACGCATAAATATTCACACAAATACTTCATTCCTGTCAGACATAACCAAAGCAAACATCTTGTCAAGTCACGTAGGTGGAAGGGATAATATACTTTTGGGACCTTTGCTGCTTAGAGTAAAGCGAATAATGAATATTTTTATGGATAAATGAGGGTGAAGTTAACATTATTCCAAGTGATTATCGTAGCTCCGTAGTACTGACGATCAAAACACAGTTCGAAATAAGTATCAGCGCAGCATGCTTATCTGTGCTACAGAGACTTTTTCTGTTGCGGTACTGTGGACATAGATCCTTCGTAATATCAAGGTATTTAGAGATGACTCCTGATTTTTGTGGAGGTTTCGTCCTGTAAGTGAAGACAATCTATGCTAAAAAGCCTAGAAGCACTGCACAGCTGTTTCATTCTTACTGGGAATTGTCAGCAATCCGCATCTCACGAAACTCCGGAGAGTCTCGAACTCGCGACTCAACCGTTCTGAGAAGTCGCTGCTCGAAGAGCCATTCAACACGTAACCGCGTGATGTGGACCCCATGGTTGAAGGATGGGCGGCGCTATATTCTGTCTAAATGCGAGCTAATCAAGCTGCTGATCAGCCACTCGTATCCGAACGGTTAAGTGTTCAAAATACTAGAGACTCTCCGGAGTTTCGTGAGATGCGCACTGCTGATGATTCCCAATAAGGATGAAACAGCTGTACAGTGTTTATCGGCTTTTCAGCATAGATTGGTTTCACTCACAGGACGAAATCTCCACAAAAATCCCGAATCTCCTCACACTACCAACATTCCTGATTTTCTCACATACACAGAGTCAGTCAGCTGCAGTCGATTTCCATAATGGACACTTTTGGTCTTAAAAACATACCCGGAGCCGAGTCCATCTAGAGAGTCAAAGGGTGCTCAGTTAATTTTGCATTGGAGGTTAATTATCACCGAAACCAATTACGAACTTAGCCTATCATGAGAAAACACTGTTCTTTAGAAGATTACAATCGCTTACCCCCAAAAAAACTGCACCCCAGAAAATAGCGAAATTACGTTGTTTTGTCTTAATGGAGCTTTTGCGTTGTCGTTTTATGCGATAATACGTGTCTCACTTACCTGTTCCGAGGTTTCTAACAGAACTCGATCCACTGATAAGCTACCTCGCTTCAGCATTTGCACTGGTAATAATGTGTCTGATCGTGGAACCGCTTCCCATGTTTGCTTTTGTTCACTGCATCGAGATGTACTATATCGATGGTCGGATTTGGCGTCTGTACAAATGCGCAATACAGTACCAGCGTAGGATCGATTGACTGCCATACTGCAGTTGCACATCTGATCACATTCTCACCGCCCGCCAACCTATCTGCCGAATCCATATGAAAAAGACGTGTCGAACCACTGTCGAAAGATTGGCCCAAGTTTAGACCGTTTCCGGCTCTTCAGTAGATCTCATTCAGTCCCCACCGTGTAATTGATCCTGAACTCCTCTACTGTGGACGCGTTAAATGCTTTCTCTTGTTGTGGACTGAAACGGAGTTTGTTGGCTGCTTCCTTAGTTCTTTTTTTGGCCAACAATTGTCACACCATTGAGAAGAACCTTCTACCCGTGTGTGCAGCTTCCGTTACTTCCCCATTCCTCTAGTGTGAATTGAATCTTACAAAAGCATCTACCCTCAACCAGAGAACTAAGGGTTACTTTTGTTGATGAAAAGCAGTTTGTCCAGAATTTTAGGTGCTTTAGAGTACCTCAAACCCGAGCACCCTGGCGACCGTCCAGGATATGACTTGACTTTCGTCATTCGCATTGTGAATGGAGATATTGGAACTAGCTTTAGTCCCAAACTCGATCCCTCATGGCGCCGGAACTTACTCAAGTAAAAGGCATGCTCATCACAGATGCACTATTGCAGTCGCCCGTCAAACCAATGAGTTCCATATTCAATTTTACTACGTTCGCAATGCTAGCTGAAGAGCACTGTTTTACTGTTTATAACGAGTTGAAGATAACTCCAACGCCGTGCGGCTCAAAAACTTTGGCTGGATTTTCAGCACATCAGTATTCGGCAGCGAGTTTCCTAGTGCGAAAGGCTCGCCGAAGTGTAACAGAGGTTTAAGGTCATTCCAAGTTGTCACTCATGAACCTTGACCCAAAAGTATTCTGCTTCGATCAACGTGGCTCCTTTTATCTGTAATAGGATAATCCTCAGCTTGACCAGTTGAGTGAAACTGGATAGTACCGTTATTCCTATGGAATGATAATCGAGAATAGTGACACGGTGGAGGCGATAGTTGCACACCAACCGCTTCGTGATTGGACCACGCCCATCAGTCATAAATCACTGGTGTTTTGTTCTGGAGTACCCATAAAGAAGATGATAGCTAGCAAGGAGAACGAGTTTCCCGGTCAATATTTGCACTGTTTGTTTCCAAGTCATATAACACCGATTTCGAGCCATTCTTACTTGGCGCATGACCAGTAGAAGATAGCTGTGTGAGGCACACGAAAACACTTCACTTGAGCAATGAAACACCACAGAGATTCCACTTGGAAATTGCTTGTTATTTTTCGGTTTCTGTTTACTTGGCAAGTAAGAAAGAAAACTAGACTGATGAGGTATCACCCTTACCAGAAAGATTTAGTAAATTGTCATTTATTCCTTCATCCCTGCAATGCACGCGTGAGGTTCGGATTCAGATGACCGAAAGCAGCATGCTACACTCTCAACCACTCTATCATTCAGATAGGGATATCAGCATAACTCAGAACAATGTGTTACAATGTTTCTTCACAGCACGACCTCCTGAAACGTTTCGATGAGTTGTTAAGCTTCAGTCCTCTCTTCTTTTAGACTGGAATTTTTACCGCGGGCCACAACCCGAAGAAGACCGTTTCACTCCACAGCATATCTACAATGAAGCGCTACAGCCACAGAATCCAATTAAAGATTTTCGGTCTAAAAACCAACACCAAGCCTATATGGGCTCTGCGCATCCGGAGGCTTACGGGTATGTACCAGATCCCTCAGCACGAAAACCTCTAACGTCCAGCGAGTACTCACTAAACAAACCACAATCTTCGTTTTATGGCGAGGAATCAGAGTCACGCGGGCCAGACTTCAGCATCCCCCCGTTACCTTCTCTAGAGAATGAAAAAACAAATGAGATCGCGGAGAACAGTAACGACACAACGACAGAAGCACAACCTTCGGAACCTGAGGAACCAGAGCTTCAGGAGGAACCAACAGACGAAATTTTGGGTAGAATAGATCAGGATCCTTATGAAGCTCAGCTTCGTGCCCTGAACGCAATCGAGGCATGTCGTCTGGAGCAGACTGCACTTTTACAAAGCCTCTTTGATACAGAACAAGGAGGTAATCAGACTGAAGGACAAGGTATGAACAAAACGGATCGAGTCTTGGTTCCAGGCAGCCTTCTAGATTGCGTTCACAAGTCCGTTCAACAGCGGTGTCGCTCAAGTGCTGGAACAAGCAGTCTTACAGGTCGCTACGCTTGTGAAGCCGTCTGCGCTATCGTGCGTGAACGCATGCCACAGTTAGCGGGCAAAATTGATGATTGTAGACAACCACTCACCTCCTGTACAGAAAGGTTCGTGGCGTTCCAGGTGGCGCCGCGCTGGATTGACCCGGCGTACGCAAGTTCCGCTGATTCAGAGTCGGATCAAATAAAGGCAAACCAAAACAGTCCACCGAAAGATTACGTAGCAAGTGGGGAATACTGCCAAGAATGCGGCACAAGGTACATTTCATCAGTCATTTTCAGATTTTTTCCTCTTCCGAAAATAGGGTTGTAAAAAAAGACTGTAGTCAAACAAGGCACTCTGACCATCAGGCTATCTATGCTGAGAACAAAAAAATGTCCTTCCATCCTACCTTGTTACTCTCAAGTCAGATTAATTTAAAAACAGCGGAAGATATAATCGAAGTACCTCTGCCTCGCCTTACTGCCAAGGCAAAGATGTCTCTTCATATATATATCTTTGAGTTAACTTTCAAACATTTTTGTATATCGGTGTCGATGCGTATGAAATAGGAGGTGTGAAACTCTGGTGTATGCTGTTCTGATTAGACAAATGTTATTTAGGGAGACAAGGTCATTCGTTGACTTCCAATCCACAGTGTCATATTTAATCAAAACACAACTTTGAACAGACATAATATTCGCACTGTTTAGCGATAACCAGTAAGGCTTGGGACGAGTGTTTGCCCCTAGTACGACCCACCGAGTTTGCGATGGAGCTCGGTTGAAATCATGGGCCGGTTGGTTTCTGAAATTAAATGTCCAAAACACAAGCCCAGTAAATTGCAAACCATGGGTCCAGGAACGATGCTCTTTCGCTGGGAAAAGGTTGGCAACTTTTCACTGAAACTGATATTTGGTATCAAGGAGAATGTTGGTAGCTCAGGTACAGTAGACGTAGTTGCGTATAGTGGCTTTGTGCAACCACTAGAGAACCCCTATGCTCCGCTCATGTCCCAAACAGCGCAACGATCATGTCATCCTGACTGGTAACCAAGCGTTCGCGGTCAAATTATCCGGTTCAGCGAACAAACAAACGACCAAAAGAGACCTCTTCAAATTCCTACGTGGCCGCTGATGGATGTAAGGCTGCCACAAGCCGAGTGGTTGCTATAAGTCTTACCACGAGAGAGCAAATATTAGGCACATAAACATCGTTTTTGTCGCTGTTAGTGAGATAGTCTTGAAGTTTCCATCGCCTCAGCATTTCGAGGCAAATGGTGAACACCGTGGTGAGTTGCACAGTTATGATTCACCTCTCAAATGAAATGTTGCTACGCTATTGTCTTTTCGTAAGCCTGGAAACCTTTTGCATGGTGAAAGCCACGGATTTAGAATCTAGTGACTGGGCTTAATTGTGAATAGACTGTCATGAACGAGGGAGTCTACTCAGATTCGGTATAATGGATTTGTCACTTACGTACAATGATCAATCCTTTTTAGTTAAGTAGTATTGAATGCCGCGACATTAAATGACAGGACATTAGCAGCGCACATTTACAGCCTGAACCTTGGCTGATCGAAAAATTAATCAATTTCAACATACAGACCAAAATAAAAGACTAATTCCATCAAAAACAAATATGTAGCGTGCACGTTTCAAAACTGAACGTCAATTAATTCCATGTGCACTATAGTGAATTAGCACCGGCCTTGCACATTTTCGAACGGCAAATCACTGAATGATACGAGTCTGAACAGCAGATTGCTTTTTCTTACCATATGGTGAAGTTAAGTCATTGAACCTAGACCGTGGCACCACTCTCCCGTTGAAAGGATCAGAGTCTGATTCGAGTCTGACATTTAACTTTTATGATTCAAAGTGGGTGTTGCTTTCTAGGGGACTTGATGCATTTGGTAACACTCGTTCACTAACCGTTTAGACCCTCCTGTGATCCGTGATATCGTAAGGTGATGTTTCCGAGTAAATTACGGATCATAACATCCTGAGAAATTTGTTTTGTAAATTAATAAAGTTGGGAGAATATTGGTGGCGTTAGCCGAAATATTCAATCATCTCATTCACTTGTCTCATTCATCTTTCAGACGCTGGCATTTGAAACCAATCCGAGGAACAAATCTTTTCTTCCTTGTCGACTATGCCATTTCCGGAGCGAGTTCGTTGTCGTGTAAATGCAACTGCAAGAAAAGATTTTGGTATGGAGCACAAATTAAAAATATCCTTTTTACGGTAACAATCAGACGAGGTTACCGCGTTTTCCGATAACTATTGTTTCGCATAACACCACCATTCCATTGACCGCCAAAGCTCGAATAGAAAGCAACAATACACTTTGGTTGAGTAAAAACAGGTCGCGTACCGTATACACAAAACAGTAACCCTAAAAAACGGCACCTGGACGCGGAAATGCACAGGCTAGACACACACACACACACACACAAAACACCTCTTCGTTCCAGTATGCAACTGCGGTATGGAACGACAGTCAAGACAATAAATTGCTCTGAAGGACGCAGGTAGCTTAGCCTTTGCTCTCGGATGTCTGAGAAAGGGTAAGCAAGTACATCAAATAATTTCGCTGGTCTACTAGAGTAATTGTAACTCCTTTTCACGACTTCTCTCACTTTCCACAGAACTTTGCAAAGGAGCACCCGGGTTTCTGTCTCACAAACTGGATTCTCACTTTGCCTCACCAGCTGACCACAAAGGAACCGAATTCCCCAACCTCGGTGCGGGGAGATGAATCTCACCCAATCAGAATGGAGTAGGGATAACCGAAACATTATTAGACGAAAAGTCGCACGGCTATTAGTTCGAAAAATTCAGGGCAATCAACGCGTTGATAGCTGAACAAATAGAGAAAGTTGTGTTTGCCAATAGATAGGGAATCCTGTATATCCGAAAGTGTGAAGATTCATCGCCAATAGGCTAACAGAACATATATTAGGAACAACTTTTTCAATGACATATCCAATGGTAAGTTTGCGACTACCCGGAAAGTCTCAACTGACAAAGTTAACTGAATTCGTAGGTTACGAACCATCCATGATTCGCAATTCTGGAGTTTTGCATTCTCATCAATCATATTCTTACTCATAAACGTATTGCTGGTTGATGTTCCATCGAACACAGTTGACTACGGCTTGAAACACAAGCATAGTTGCCTCCAAAATTTGATCACCTCCTTGATTCTGTCGAATTTCCCACTTTATTCCTCAGCAAATATTGATAGGGAACTGAATGCACAGCACTTAGTAAGTAATTTTACACAATCAGAGTATTAAAAACTGCCCTAACATCTAATATCCCTCTCTCTCCGGAAAAAAAGATGAATTGAAGGTCATCGTCCACACATCGAGTGCTGGATAATCTAATTCAACCCAACCAAAGTGAATCCTCAGGCTGGAGGCGACTGCTCAGTCAGAACCTATCAGAAAAGCGGATAGGTAGATAAGCGGAGAGTTGTTACAATGCACCAGTGTATATATGTTCAAACACTAACGTCCCTGTGGACGGGACGGTAAAGCAACACATTCACTTAGATTTTAAAAAGAACGAAAGTGAGGGAGAAACATATGAGGACACTAACAAACGTAGAGGAGACATCGCCAACAGATTGGAAGACATTTTCAAGACAGCGGCATGCATGATACTTTGATCACCAACAGTCCTATCTTTTCACCTGCCCACAAACCCCACCGATATACTTACTGGAGACCATCGACAAGATTATTTTGGCCACATATCGTGTGACGAGACTCATATTCTGCCCTTTAGGTGGCCAATGTGGTCAGTATGTTCACATACACTCCACTGCACATTGATCGCGCAGACGCGCCTTCAGGTGAAATCGATATGTGGACCTGGTTGCGCCACCCTCATCTGCAAACGAGCGGTTAGCACATCACATGTTTGGGTCGCCTGCTAATCAAACAAGCGAATGTAATCTAGCACTGGAATATCAACTCCTTTAAATCACGAGGACCGGAAACAAAAGCAATTTGTCTCTCTACCATCGAACTGACAAAAAGTGGACAAGATAAACTATGTTGATTATAGACAACTTGAGTAGTACATACAGTCCGGCAGGTGTGTTGCATCAAATGCAACCTCGGATTCCACCACCGGCAGAAATATGTTCGCGGTTTCTTGAAAAAGCACGTACGTACGTCCCGATAAGCTGGTCATTTCAATAAACTGACAAACAGACAAATTACTCGATACTATACTGTAAGTATGGTAGTAATAGATCATGGAAATAAGCAAAACAGTTGCTCACAGAATATATACGCTGACAATGTGAGAGTTACATGATGAGAACGTAAGAGATGCTTTCGCTAGACTAGGCAACCTATTGAAGAAAAAAGCCGGTTTTCCATCACGCGGTAATGAGTTCCAGGTTGCAGACTACTGCGATAAGTTCCGAAGAAAAGAAGTCTAGTTGTTAATCGTCTTAGAAGATAACAAATTCCAACAACTCACCATATCTAGACAATTCGAGCGCTCCTGGCCTGACAGAATACTATGCTCAGCAAAATGGATGCTAATTACGTGACTGCTCATCCGTAATCTTGAGGAAAACAAATATTGGAACAGATCAGTTCCAGGGCTCTGGTACCTTACGGGATTATGTAGTACATTAGTTTCTAATCCATTCAGTGTCAGGAAATTGCCTAGCAGAATAGTTGCTCACTTATTTTTTTCTCTTACGGAGCTAAACAGCCGTAAACAGTAAGAGAATCGCAGAAACTTGGCAGCAATAACATGTTAGTTCGCCAAAAGACCTTTGAGTCTGAGGTTAGTTTCCGAGTAAGGTATATGATCCACACATCGGGTGAAATGCTGCAATTGCGGATATTCTAACACAACCGTAGATTTACACGTCCACGGCAAAAAGGATAGCGCAACGATGTCCGTTTGGATTCTTAAAAAGCCGGGAAAATTTTCACCATCAAAAATCCAGAATCCTTTGATCCAAAAATTCGAGTACGAAACTTGGAACAACACTCACAAACATGCAGTGAGATTTCAAGCTTATCGCTCGATATTTAATCGCTAGGATAAACGGCCACTCAGGTGAAGCAGCCAGTACTCAAAATGTCTATACAACTTAAGAATCATGCAAATCAAATGCAGCGTTTACGCAAATGAGTCCACGGACACGTGATCCGGAGTTTAACAATCTGAAACTGTTTGTGCCAGAGTCACACGATCAGCTACTGGTAACGGTGAAGGGTCTCAATAGGCTGAGCTATTTCGGGTCCGACCACAACCCTAATACCAGTTCGCTTGAGAATGTTTACGTGTTCTAAGTGAAACATAAGCCTCGGCTCCCTTTGAGCGCAATGAACTCCGAACCGTGCGGTGACCCTCGCGACACTTTCCTGTGAAATGATGATAACGGCACTTCAACTCTGGTGAGTAACAATGAAGGTTGTGCCGGTGACAAAAGAATCCCAAGCAATGGCCAGCTAATGACCACATTGCAGTACACAGAGCTGGCATCTGACTTCCAGGTTCCCATATACATACCTCGAGGACGACCAGCGTCATAATCCGTCTGTTTTACTATAAATGAAGCCATTTTCAGACTCGTTACTTTAACTCCAGTGAACTAGATCCGACGAAACCAAGGCCGATCCGACTACGGCGTGATCCTCCCTCGCCAGAAGTATGCACCATAATCAAAGCATCGGTGAGTTGCCTTCCATCGATCAATGTCACTAATGACTTTATACATGTGCACGATAATTAGCTGACTGACACTAAACATGTGTTTACCAGCTTATCAAGCCAGTACATGCGTGGAACTGTGGAACATACCTTACAAGTTCATAAACTGAAAGAGGATTGTTTTTTATCATAGCTAATCGGGTGTAAAACAATTACGAAGCTGGATTTTCTCGGTGATAAGTAACACTAAGTATAACGACTGTTTGAAATGCCCACCACTTCTCACTACATGACAGAAATAACAGGAAGTTTAGTATTTTATTTATGGATGAAATCATTTCTCCGTTCATGAACACAAGGCTTAAGAGGTACAAGCGGATACAAGATTGTCTCAGTGAGCGGGAGACGACGGTTACCTGTTGCATTGGATAGCCGGGTATGTAAGTTATTCCGCAGTCGGACCACTTCATATCTGCAGACTGCTCAATAGATCACTAGTACTACTACACTACATACCAACCAAAACGCTGCGCTTAATCTGCAGCAAACAGTAAAAGCTTCATACGGAGATGAGAACCCGAACATGCGACATATCAGAAGCAACATGATGCTGCCTAACGTTAACTGGAGCACGCCCAATACTATGCTCGGCACTAGAATGTTGGAATACCATCGGGAAAAGCCACCTATTTCACACAGCGTGTATCCTTATTGTGATTGCAAGGAAGATTTTAAAAAGGTGGATCGCCCAGGCTCCGGAAGTTTCATATGACAGTTGAGACACCATATCACCAGTATCATACTTGGCAGAGGAAAACGGTAGCATACATGTTCGACTTCCAGAGCATATTTTACTCGTCGATGGAAGTCTGGTGCAACGTGATCTGTGTGTGGGATCTAGGGTTGACCTTTAAAATCACTTACAATGTCATTTGCGCTGTGGGTGATCGACATCACCTGGATAGCAATTACTGGGCCATGATTCGAAGAGTTCACCTGTTCGGACGCGATTGTTCAGCTACGTAGTTTGTTGGTAGATTGGAGATAACAATCTTGCTTCGCATATTATAAACCCAGAGTTCAGATCTCGTCAGGAAAAAGATGCACTGCTGACAAGCTCAGATAGATTGATGGACAAATGGATTACCTTAAGACAACCACAGATACGCTACGTCTTGCCTTTTTGCTATGCAGCACTCAGTAGCTGTAACAACCAGTGCCTAGCTCCCGTGCCACCCGAAGGAAGCACGAGGGCTGAGATACTGCCAGGGTGCCCAAGCCAAGAAAAGGGAAGTCGAGAGGCAGAGATCGGGTTCGAATCACGGACCCTCCATTCAGTAAATCCGCGCTCTAATCACTGAGCCATCTTGTCTCCGCAATAACCACTTACGGGAACAACGAATGAAAGCACATAAACCTATCGTTATAGGTCCCAGATTTTGAAGCCAAAACTTATCGTGGTTGGCCAGACACGAGGGAGTTCCACAATGGGTGTTACGAGGAGCTCCTATTAGACCGGATATCCCATGGTAATCTCCACACTAATAGAGACGACTCATCAAAGTAAGCAGTAGCAGTAAGCAGTGGCTGCTGTTCGTACATCGGGCACATCCTGTGTTTGCAAACGTCTCTTTTCCAATAATAGACACACCAGCATATAACTGACTAACGCTGCACCGTAGTCCGAGGATATATCAGCGTTGGTTGTTAACTTTTGACAGTGAGATTCGATTGACAGGTCGTCTGGTTGGCTGATCCGGTTGGTTGGCCCATTCGCAAAAAAATACACAGAATCATCAAACGCCTACATACTGAGGGTCGGTCAAACTATGATCCAACGTTTGTCTAGCAGAAACTGACAGTGACGAAACTTACACCTCAACAGCCCTTCTCAGTGGGAAGAATAGCGCAAGACGCCAACGCTTCCTTCGGTAACGTAGCACTTCCCTTCGGTTTTCCATACCGTCCCTTACCTTTTGTGGCCACATCATCTCCTTAGGAGATTAACGAAATTGTTGTCCGAGAAGCAACCTTGCTCCAACGAAAGAAAGTGAGCATTAATTTATACCGACCAATGCAGGAAAGGACACTCCATGGACTGCATAAGGATCCCGAACTGCTCATAATCCATTAAGAAGTTTGGAGCCCAAACTTCCATCAAATGTATTATCGTCAGTACAATTAAACTCAAGGTGAAAACAACATACCACCAGGGCTTCCAAACTCACAGGTCTAGTTTGGCCCCTCGACTCGAGCAGTATCTATCACGGAGCGTTTACGCATTACTTACTGATTTTGATGGAAGATCATCAGATTTCTAGTGGAGATGAATAATAAGTAAACAACCAAGTCAGGCCACCATAATCATAGACAGCAGGATATCAGTCTTTAACACTGATGCTTCGATGCCCAATTCAGGCCACATTTCAGATGCCTCTCATCTCTGCCAACGTACGACCAAACGCTTAGCAGTGTGCCGGTTTTGGAAAAGCGAGCGAGATTTGGTATTGACAACGTGATATCACAAGAAGCTAAATCGAAAACGGGAGCCGATACTCAGATAGTAATTACTTTCGTTACCTTTTATCCCTGTCAGATGAGCATATAGGTTGTGATGGATTTCGGCTACCAGTCGACATCCACATCAGTTTGCGTCATAAAAGACAAAATAATCGCCTCCTTGTGGTAGCCACTCCGCCGGTGGCTAATGCATCTTGTGAATACTCAATCCGTTCCATTAAAAACTAGGAGTCACACGCACCAATTAATCACGCGAGTCCTGCGGGCAGAGCACCGTTCACATTACAGAAACCGTAAATTTCATCGACCACAAGTCGTCTCGCTAGCCTTGATCCAGAAAGTTCAACAAAATAAAAAATTGGTCGCCAAGAAATTTGCTCCAGAAACGAATGTCACCCCCCAAAATACAGCAGCACCGGTGATCTTTGGGAATGAAAACATTCGTTTTGGTTTAATGGTTCGTTGGATATTTAAACCGCTGTAGAAGTTATTAACGATGGAAAAAACCGCAAATGCTACCTATAGGCCCGAACAAAGCACAAAGAACCTAGTGATCCAACCGTGTTTGAGCCAAACTCGGTCGGTAGCAGCAGCAGTCCGGGATGCACAATTACTAATTCCCCCAATGGTAGCGAGTTTTGAAGCACTAAGTGTTCGGCCCAGACCACTCTCTCAGACAGAGGACAACAAATGGTAGCTGAAGAAACGAAATGCATTTGTTCCGAAACTGGTCCTCTTTCATCTTGAGATTATGCTTCAAACAGCGGAATCACGAAAATACAAGTGGATGAATGAATGGGTCCCTCAGTTATTGCACCCTTACGGTGTCTAGTTGCCACGTCACCCAAAAGAAGCTCAAACGCTGAGATACACCCAGATTGCCAAACCCTAGGGAGCAGTGGTCGAGATGCCTGCGCTGAATTCGAACCACGGACCTTCCGCGCCCTAATCACTGGGGTCCCGGGCCAAAGCACTTGCCTGAAAACTGGAGTGCAGTACAAATGGGCCAGTTTCAAACCGGCTAAGGCTATGTCACTGATGTATTAGCTACTTGCAGGCATTTAAATCCAAGGTGATCAGGTCTGAACCGAACTGAACATTTACTGACCGAGCTAGACATGTGTACACCGCTCGATCATATGGGTCATACCTCTGTGAAATAAACATCAAGTCCCCCAGTTTGCCATGGGCGTGAAATTTTGCACCCCCGAACCTCTGTGGTGATATCTGCTGCATGTAAATATTGAATCGTATTGTGTGTTTGGGCAATGTCGCTTCCTGCCACTTTAATTCAAGTATGTATCAGTGCCCGTAAACTTATGTTTGGTTAGATAGCAGCGTTCCCAATACTGGGCATAAACTAACCTGGTTTCATGCTCATGTAGGCGAGCCTTCAGCTGCTCCATGTTCGAATCTATGTAAGCCTTATCACAGACGCGGTACGGGTGGTTATCTACACTCACTATGGACCGAAGCCCGTAATGAATTGCTTGGTTGTTGATAACACACCAGCAGGCAGCTATAGTATTTCTCTCGTTATGCCATAAGTTGCTGCATTCTGAAACGTCATATTTGCATTCCAGCTGGAAAACTCAACTGTGTGCACAGACGACGGGAAAGTTATCCAGCCCTCTTGGGTCCTACTACTCATCGTTGCGACAATCCAAATGTTAAGGTAATGAAAAATCGGTGGCTCACGGCTGAATGCGGCAACCTATACATCATTCCTCAGATTTTTTCTGTGTTTACTTTGCTGAGACTGGCAGCAAAAAACTGTCATTTATCGTATGTGAGAAATACACGTATTATTATTTACACTACTGACTGAAATGAGAATACATGTTCGGGTGCGAAAGAGATCCAGGACAAAAGGCAGATTGTGTAAGAGCAGGTAAGAATAAAAAAACAAACACAAAATGAGGACTGGATACAACAGTTATTTGGGATGTGAGACGGGAGTGAAAGGGAACTAAACAGTATAAATATGTGGCGTGGACTTGTGTACAAGATCTAGAGAAGTGTCGCAGAATGAACGACAGAACGGAGACGTTGCTCGAACCGAGCTATACACTGCGGAACGCGACCGCGTACAGAACGATAACTGTGTATGTACAATGGAATAAGAAACGGTCCATATTCATGCGTTTCATGCCCATTTAGACATACGTTAACGGCCCCTGAGGCCGGATTAAGCTACTGAGGAAATACTCCCAAAAGGGATACAATTGTTTGTGGCAGTAATGCACCACTTGATGAGATAAGGATGAGCGTTCCTCTGAAGCAACCATAATCTAGGCGGCCTAATAGGTAACCAAAATGCGTACAACGCTCTGATACTATTATAACATGACAGACCATCCGCCAATTGAAGCCAGGTGGGATCACAGTGCTGAAATAACCAGGAACTAGTGGGTCCAGTGTTAATCCACTGTTAATATCCAAAAGTGATATCGTCTGCAGCTAAGGGCGATGATGTTGACTCGATAAACGTGACGCGGAAACTAAAACGACAATGTGCACGAACAGCGCATCAGTCATAATGTAATTGTCAAACATCGCCCTAAGTGTTTACGCCCGCCACGGTTTCCTGTGGCCAATTTATCTCAAGGTCATCTGAGTCATTGATAGTGTAGAACTCGTCTGGTCCAGGTATGTAGGAAGACATTGAGTGCTGCGGAATGGAGGTCATAGATGTGGCGGACACTGAGTCATTGGATCCTCCAGCGGCTGCAGCGGCTGCATCTGGATTAATCGAAGGTGAGGTCGCACCGAGTCCTGCATGTCGAATACCGGTGGAGGGAATGCCCATTGACCTGGCGGACTGGTAAGACGAGCTCATCCCGTTGGTAGACGGGACACCATCAGGTAATAGGATTCTATGGTTAATATTCCTTGACCGCAGTGAAATCGAATCAAGTCTCCTGTCAGACACCTCGCCCGAACCGTCCAGCGATCGTCGGGAGCTGTGGCCATTTGGCGGATGACCATGGTAATCCATTATACAATAGTAGTCGCTACTGGTTGGTTGCACTACGGGCTCGTCGTCCACACTACCGTCAACTTCGGGAGTGAGGCCGTATTCAGTATCCACAACGTGATGTATATCAACGGTTGACCTGACTGTATCAGAACTACCCCGGCCGGTGTAATACGGATTGACCCCAGCCAACCCAGGAGACTGGGAAAGGCGTGATGGGTTTTGGGAGTGTTGAGAAGCACGTAGTTCCATGTCTAACTCATCCACGGATGGGTTGACTGCTCTTCGCATTGCCGACTCCACCGAATCTAGAAAAGCAGCGGTGTCGCTCGAATCACCAATACTGGGAAGTGCGCCCAACCGGCCATTAGAATTTACAACGCCGTGGGTGTTGCCGTGAACTGGAAGCCGTTGTGAAACGTGGTGGTGCATCGGCCCCGAGGAATAGGGAAAGGAAGAATGACCATGAACCTCAGAGAGACCAGACTCCTCCAACACAAACGGTGACTCAAAGGACTGTCCAACATTTCGGTATGAAGACGTGTTTGTGGCTACAGTTCCGTTACTGTGCCAGTTGTAAACACGATGATGTCGACAATAAAGATGATCCGGATATGGGAGGGTGTACCTGAACAGAAAAGAAACCAAGAGGAAGACATAAGTATCTGCCTGAACAGTACCCAGTTCCGGAGATGTATTGCGAATTCACCTTGCCCTACCTAAAAGAATGAAAGTACACAGAGGACAGTATCAAATCAAACACCGTAACGAACTGGCTGTCACAGATGAACCATCGTGGAAACTGACAAGACTATGGGAGTACGGTAGTTTCAGTCCACACTTACCGTCGCTCACTCTCCAGAACACAGTGACAATAGAGCAGGTTAATAATTATTTTGCCCCACACAGCAAAACAAATATCATCGGCCAACATTACTGATGAAACAAACACAAAACATATTCAGAATGTGAGTGGCAGTCAATTCGGGGTGCCCATTGAGGATTATATTCCATATAAAAGCCCATTTGATTACCCAGCTATATATTTCCATTGCTCGGATAGAGAAATCGAAGGCTACAGTTGGTGGGAGCTTTCCTTTTGCTCTTGTACCAAATCGCCAGCCGCGTGCACCGAAACCGTCAACGGAAAGAAATCCTTAATAATAGCACGGGGAAGCCAGTGGAGTAACTCAATTAGTTTCCTTCGGGAGATATTTGGTGCCCACTATGTTACAAAAAATCATCGAGCTAGCAGAGTCATAGACCTCGATGGACAGATATTTAGCCCGGCTCCGAGAATGTGTGTATGAATGCAGTGTTCAACTTGCATTTCCATCAACTGCAAAAACGTTTCCCTTGGTATGTACACAGAATCGAGTTCCAATGTCCACATGAGGGGGCGACAGGCCATCAGGCTGTGTACTACTTAGCATGACTTTCAAACCAAGCGCTTGCTCACACAAAGCGTGTACTTCAAGGGAAGGAGTCTATCACACGCTTCACCAAAAATGCTTATGCTCTTCGTCGTACCGCCTAACGGAAGCTGAACGAACAACCATCAGTATTACAGAGCGACAGCCGGATATCCTGACCGTCCAAGAAACGCGACGAGGTTGGTTTAAACACAAGTCCTCGGTGAATTGAGTTCATGGGTCCTTCGACGCACCTCTCAGTTGGATGGATCCATTCTCTTTTGGAACATTTGGTTCCACATACTGCGGGTCAGATTGGTGGCTAACCTGGTGGCGTCGGCAGGGGGAAATTGATACAACAGACTGCGTGCAGAGAAATAGCATATCAAGAAAGGGGAGTTATATGAATTCTGATAGATCAAGCAAGCGGATAAAACTATCATTTCACAAGTTTTAGCGATCTGTCATGAAGTGTGACTAGAAGGTAGAAGACCTGAGTATTGTAACGAATGTAAGGAAGACAGGAACCCACCAACTCGACTTAATAGAGGAGTTAATCAAGGCTTATATGTGCCAAATTTAGTGTGTACCATTGCTTGGAAGATCAAAAAACATGGTATTAACGCTCGACCCAACACTTCGCTCCATCGAATTCCACTGACTGTGTTTTTCTGCCGTACGGAGATGTAAACTTGGGCGGAAAAACAACACCACAGTACGCTGCTTAGGAACGACCTGTCCTGCCGTACAAAGGAGCTCAAACTAAAAGTGCAACTCCGACGACACATGAAAGCGATAGGCTTTCAGTGGACAGCGGCGCCAAGTAAACAGCCAGGTAGCGGTTCATATCTGTGCAAACAGTTTCGATCCACATCCATGTATCCATCAGGAGCTGATAGCCCACACACATCTATGGTGAACAGCGATCCACCTGGGAGCAACATGGTATTACCACTACTTGCGCTGTAGTGATCAACAAGAGTTGTCGTACCGAAAGTGGTTTTCCTGGCACAGTAGAGTTGTATTTCTATTAATATCTCTCAAAAAGACGTACATATCTTTGCTACTCTTCAGAATAAAGGATGGTAACAACTGCTTCTCTCTTCCGAAGAACCAAAAGCCGTGCGCAACGAACCAGACGAGCGAAAAACCTTACTGAGGGAAAAGCCGAGTTGGAAGCGACCCATGTAGTACATAGAAAACTCGTACTCACAGGAAACGTTCGTCGCGTGCGAACCAGGGGAAAAAAGGCATCAAAGTAGAGGTTGTAGTACAGTAAACGGAGAGATAGTCTGGTCCATGACCCTATAAAGGCTCCGAAATTCAGGACAGAAATGTCACAATTCAGCCGAAGGTTGTACTGTATCGTCATGCTTTGCTCAAACAACTTCCAGCACAACTACTGTGAAACCTGTTCACGGCTAGTATATTCATCATTTTATGTCTATCCGCCTGAGGAATCTAGATGATTGCTAACGTCAGCTGTTTTATTCAGACACTCACGGGAGAGCTATTCCAATTGGAGAGTGGGGACAGGTTTTTTTCAACTTAACCACGATGAGTTTGTCTTAGATTTTAACTGCTACACTGTTGTCTATGGAAAGACTTGTATAAATTGGCTGATACCAAGCGAAATGAAACTCTCGGAATACCTATGCAAATACCAAAAGAATTCCCAAAGAACAAAAGTTGAAGAACAAAAAACCCTGGAAATATCCTAACCCCAATAAACGTTACCGGTAGTACGTCAGTAATACCCAACCGATACAACAGCAAGGAAAGTCCTACTAACTAATGGAACGAAAAGGATAGATAGGTACCCAGTGTGAGTAGTTCCCCTGTCACCATAGGAAACAATCAAGAATAGAATTCGGAATTAATATTAAGAACACGATACAGAAAAACACAAATCGAAGACGCTAGTGGCAAGATCGACCCATCGTCCCCTGCGAACCCCACCATACACATAAGCCGAGCATTCAAGGCTAGGAAATGACAGTATGCACGCCACCGGAGTCGGTGATGTGCAAAGAGGATTGCGTAGGCTCCAGCCACAAAGACACACAGAACTCAGTGTGACTGGTCAGTTACGTGCCATGTCGCCATGTAATAGCAATAATGTAATGGAGAATAAAACAATGCTTTCATCGGAACACGGCTGCCCCAGATGACCACTTACGCAGCAATTCGCTACACACCCGCCGCAGATAAACCCGGGACAATCGTTAACGAAAACATCGATAAAAACTGGTGTTTCGCTGCCACATAGTAATCGCGTTTGCTCGGTCGGTCACTTTACCGAATTAAGCAGGACTACAACACACTAACGGCCTATAGGACAACGTAAAATTGCGTGTTTAGTCGCAAACGGTAGGAAACAGAACAAATGGTAATCCCGTCCACGGTCATTCGAAAAACGGCATGTGACTAACAAGTTTTTTTATTAAATATGCCTCCCGAGGCTGTGTTAAATTCTGCTCAATTTCTCAGATGAAAACCACGTAGCAAGGGTACGCTGGTTCCAGTTGCTGTAGTTTTGGTCATCAGAAAATGGGAGCGTGGGAGACAAAGCCAAGCACTGGAGACGATGGTACTATCATTCATTTGTGGATATTAGACAACTACGCACTGAAGTGATAGCTTTTTGGTCATCAGAAAATGGGAGCGTGGGAGACAAAGCCAAGCACTGGAGACGATGGTACTATCATTCATTTGTGGATATTAGACAACTACGCACTGAAGGTGATAGCTTTGATGCTTGGGTGCACTGACTATAAGGCATGAACGTCAGTGCCAAAAACCACGATGAGTTTGATCCCGAGTCCCCATTCGGATAGGCGGAAGCTATTAACGCGGCTGAGTTCACTGGTTTATGTTTTCGTACTTCGTTGCCAGGTATTACACTGTCCACGCCTCGGTCGCTTCCAGTCAGCACAGGGCTGGGGGAACGCTCTACGAAGCAGTCTTTCAGCATGGGTAGTATATGTCCTAACCAGATCGAAATAATGCTTCGGAGACGCCGATTGTTACACATTGACAAGCCACGTCCCTGATCCATTAATCAGTATGGATCGCGCTGCTGCAGTGTAAACTCTGCTCCTGACAGCAAACTGGCTTCACGTCCGCGCTACATGTTTCGAAGGTTGGGAAAAGCTGTTTTTGCCTCCCCGATACGAGCAATCTCGTCTCCAGACGATCCGCTGGAAGTTATACAGCAGCCCAGGTAAACAAATTTGCACATCACTTCGATTGGCTTGTATGCAAGAACGAAGTTTTGGTGATCTCACCGAGTCTTGTAGCAGCAACTTACAATTTGAAGGCGTGAGGCACATAACTAACCGTGCGGAAGAATTAGTTCGGTTATTCAAAATGGTTTGTATCCTTGAGAGATATGAAGGGAGAGCAATATCGTCCGCATACTCAATATCTGTGAGCGAACGTCGCCGGAGCATTTCGACCCCGACGGTTTCGGGGGAAAACAGCACATCAATAACGAGGTGAGAGGAGCCCTGTCTTATACTAGTGGATATGGCAAACCCAAGCAGAACCTCGCTGTATACTCGTACGCGCCCACGAAAGTTTCCATACACAGCCCTCGTAAGGGATACAAATCTGGAACATCAGTGATCGCCAAACACTTCCAAAATTTCTGGCGATCAACAGACTGGAAATCAGCTTTTAGGTAAAGAAAAAGGGTCGTTGGACAATTGAAAGAGTTGCGCTTTCAAGAAACAGTTTCAAAGATGGAGATATGTTCGATGCATCCTCGACCAGGGCGAAACCCAGCTTCATGCTCACTTAGCTCGAAACATCAAGGTAGACGCCGGATAGCAAGAGCATTTGGGGAACACTGTCAATGTAGTTTGCAAATCCATGATTGTACCAGTCGTACAGTGGTCCGTAAGCAGAGAATCACGTGACACCGCAAGTGACCCCATTCCCCTACACATGTTTGCCTACCAGTGTAGGACTCACGTTCTTTACACTTTGAAATCTTTGGATGTTTGATGAGGCATTACGGACTACGCCGCAACCACTAAACAGCAAAAAGGATTCTGACTCTCATCATGTTGCCTGATTTCGACATCGGTGATCCCAAGAATGTTGACTTTCACGATGGATTCAGGGTGAGTGGAATAAAAAGCCTACCCACCAATCTACGGTTCGGTGCAAAAAGCATGAAGACTATTGGTACGGAAATGGGTATAGTTGGAGG